AATGGTGTCCTGTGGGCAGCCTTTAATAATTCGTTTGGAGACTGGGATACTTTTTCGTACAAGAGACAGGTCAATATATTTTTTGCCTTTTGTTGAAGAATTCTGACTTATTTCTTGTAACCAAGCTTTACACATCAACCCAATACTTAAATGTTAATAATAATAAACTCATTTATTTCTCTATGAATTGTTTCTGGTACATTTGTAATGAATATTATTTCATCAGTGTCAATCTAGTTGCCACATAGTAATGCTAATGTACAAAGCACAATTGCCTAAGGCTATAGCTGTAGCAAGCGTACACACAGAGATGGACACGGTTCAATCATTTTGCTCCAACCCTCCATCTTGTAGATCCTTCTCCCCCTCTTTGATCATCCCCCCTCCCTCTCTGTTCATCCACAGTGACATGTGGCCTGTGTGTTGGCCGAGGTCATAGGCAGCCAAAGCACAGCAGGCAGCTCCGAGCTATAAAACCCCCCAGGGAGCTGGGTGCCTGGCTGTCTAAGAAACTGTGCAATCTGGCATATCGTAAAAGTATAACCCAAGCCTTTCCCTGAGTTCAAAGACATTCCAGAGGAGTAATAAACTAGATACCACATTCAAAATCCATTTTCCCCCTATGTCTCATATCTTGAGACATAAAAACCAGGCATATCTTGAGATTGGTCACGATAGTCACACTCCTTGGCTGGCATACATAGAAAAGCAGAAAAGTATATCTTTTGAACCATTCAAGTGTATATTTCATATCTCATATCTAACCGTTCCACAGATGCATCTGCATATTAATCTACCCGGGGGTGGGATGTCAAATGCACCTAGGAAAAGTTATGGGCCAAAATATAAGCCAAGAGAGATTCTGGTTGTAACTTAGATCTCCACCTACACTTCCCTCCCCAAATAAGGCAATTGGTTCTTTGTTGTAAGGAGACACCCCACTGAGATTGTAGAAAAAGGCTTTTAAGCTTGGAGTTGTAGGTGAGAGAAAGCAGAGTCTCCTGCGTTTAACATCGAAACTAGCAGTAGAGACAAGAAATCCTTTTTGACTCATGAGACATGAAGCTGCTTAACCCAAGGCTTTTTGGCAAGTACTTATCTAACTAAACTTCTTTCTGGTATCTTTTTGCTGTGTTATTGCTCTCTGTATATTTATATATATATTGGTTACCTCTTTTTTCTGTAAATATTTTTATTGCACCCTTTTGACCTCTTAGTAATAAATCTTTCCTTCTGAAAGTGTTGAACTTTTTCTATAGCTCTTTAATGCAACTTACGAATTCCTGCCGCTGAAGAGCGCTACTATGTGTGTTTAACCCTCTGTATAACCTGTCTGCGGTGACAGTGGTATACAGATGATTATCCAATCATCCTAGTGTTATTGCTTATATTGCCGAGTTTCCTCTTTCTCTGTCCAAAAAGGAGGTGGTGGCAGTGTGAAGGGTTAATTGCGTAATTAACCTGACCCAGTAACAATCGCTCCCAGGCTGCCGGTACATCGATGGTGGTCCAATTAGCTGTGTGCAGGGTGCAGCTGGGCGTGGCATCCCTGTTTTAGATTGGCTAGTCCTTCGGCCATGAGTTTGGTGAGAAGGGCAGGGTTCTGACATTGCGATCATCACAATAGCCATCAGCTGGTCCAGACTATCAGTGTTTGGCCAAGAATGTGGGTCTGATGGTATTTGAGGTCTATTGGTATTTGAGGTCTGCTCAAGTAGGCTTCTTAGTTCCAGTAGGCTACTAAGGCCTGGATTTATAAAGCTGCAATCATATTTAAAGGAATTGTGCACTTTCATGTTTTCATTGTTTTAACTACCTTGTAATGATGAACTCACATGTTGTGGCTACAGTTTGCAGGGTCATGGCTGATCAATTTTTGAACATGATACCTTTGTACATGGTTTGCTATACATTGCCTGTTCTTTTTTGTCAAAACGACATGACAACTTCCTGTTCTGGGTCACTCTGCGTCTAATGCATGTATTGCCATCTACTCTGTGTCGCATCACAAATGTGGGAGTTCTATTGTAACAAAAAAAATCTTCCTGCTGCATGGTAGGCTCTCTGCTTGTCTGTGAATGCTCTGCCTGCTGGTGTTTGCCAGATCGAATTAATGGTAGATATCTCTCACCTGCACTAGATTGGAACCCAGGAATTGTGGGATATGTAGTACTTTCACAGCATTTTACTTGCATTAACTGGTGCAGTGCCATATGGCATGCCACACGTATGAACACAAACAGAAACTGCCGACACAGGAATGTGAAGATTTACTCCACTGTACGTTTTGTGTACAGGGCAACAAATGATACCATGAAACCACATGATTAATCCACATCATATGCAGGTGAAAAACAAAAGGCATGCTAAGCAGTGCTTAAGGCAAGCTAAAATTCCATAATAGTAGTGTCTGTAATGGAGAAGGGGTCGGGCTGGCTTTTGATCTTCTGGTTTCAGAGTATGTGCAGAAACAAATATTCAATAGAGAAGATGGGACTTTCAGGTGCATGAACATGAATACCAAACATATTAAAAAGTTATATAATTTTTATTTCTTATTTTTTAAAAACAAAAAAAGGAAAAATTATAGAAACATAAAAACTATTTTCAGTACTAAGAGCGGAACTGAGATTCAAACTTGATTATATAATTGTAGTTACTCCCTACATGTTTTGCCCTCACAGGCTTCTTCAGGGTATTTTGAAGAGATTTCAACCGCCGAGGCAGTCTAAACGTATATCAAAAAGAATTATACAATTACGAAACAACTTTAATATATCCAATACAAAGTATTTAATCAAAATATATATGGGACTCAATGGCTCACCCTGGATGTGAAAGCTCACAGAACTAAGAGGAAATAACCTATCAAAGATCTTAATTCGCCTACACGTCCAAAACAGTTGTAGAGGATATAATGGGCATCAAATATCCATCTAGGCATAATAGGATAGACATAAAAAACAAGAAATTAATTAAATTTAACAGAAGATATGAGGAAGAGATCATAATTCATTAGGTTGAAGTTAACTTTAGGCAATTTTACCTGTTAAATGTTCTAGAAGGATATATAGGTATAACCTAACAAGGATCTAATTGATTTATACGACCAAAACCATAGTAGAGGAAACAATGGACATCAAACATCCATCTAGACATAATATGATAGACAGAGATATGTGGAGAAACAATCATATGACAGATCTCCTTTGCCTGCTTTACCCTTAAAATGGACCCTCAGAGGGGCTGCTCCTTCCAAAAGGTAACTTGCAAACTGCAAACAGCAATAAAATATGCTCAATGATGTCTTGTTAATGAGAAACCAAACAAGCTACCAATGTGTTTTTGGATTTTAGGCAGAAATGTGAATACAGAGTGGAAATCCACACAACCACAGAGTACAAAAAAATTCAAACCCTTCAGTTTGAATCAAATATATTTACTTTCTAACGCCAAGAGTTATCAGGAACTTAAAACTATACAAACCCTTTGGCACAGATCTCCAAAAGTTTGCAAGTAATTTAATCAAGGATACTAATTCAACTCCAATACAAATTTTACTTAAAGTCTACTTCTACTTTTGCAGTCAATTTTGAGAAATTGACTGCAACTATTTGTTATGTGTCCCATTCATACAATATGCCTAAAAACATTTATTTATTTTTTTTACATATTTCTTACTTTTTAGCTGTTTCTCAGGAGTAAGTGGTAAGTCTAACTTCAAGGTATTTTTAAACAATGTTAGAGGGTGTTTGTTCTGTGCCTGTCCTCATTAACATACAATGCAATAAGCTTAACCTCTAAATCTTTAACCCCTTGTTAGGACAGACAGTGTTCAAATCTAGTTACAAGTGATAATGAAGATCTACATACACAGTACAGACAAGGTAAAAAATGACAAACACAGCTGCTCAGCCCCTCATAAGCATAGAGAACTATATAGGGTCCAGAATAGCGTATCTAAAAAAGGTAAGCTGTGATTTTAAAATATTTTCTTTAAGTTATGGTATGTGACTGGGGGCATAGAATGGATATAAAGTAGGTGTTATCCCAATTTGGCAGCAAAAGTGAAAATACACTTTAAGATCCCGAGTCTGCAAACCCAAGGTGTTGAGCAATAAAAAAGTACAACTTTACTTGTATCTAAATTTTAATTTTCATTTAGAATTCTGTTTTTTTTTTTTTTTTTTTTAATACATCTCATCCAGAATTTCAATTGTTGCTTTCTGTCTATATACCATTTGAATTATTTTCTATTGTCATTTCTACTTTTAAAAGTGTATCAAGATTTCTTCATGTCACTGAGCTTATACACACTTGCTTGGCATCTGGGATAAAGGAATGATGGTGTGCTTGAGCCAACTCAATGTTTCCACTAAAAGGGGCTCCCATTGGCATCCTTATGCATAAGCTTCTCCCACAGCTGCAGACCAACCAGCATAGGTGCGGGATTACAGACTTGACACACTGATTATAATACCCTGAAGAAATCTGCCAGTTTTGAGAGGGGATTTTGTCTCTGAAGAAGCCTCTGACTGTCCAGTGTGGTGGTTTTGACAGGTGAGCTGAAAGGACAGAGGACATGCTCTGTGGTACTGTGAATGACAAGCTGCAAGCTGAATAAATTGCAGTTTGTATGCAGCGCCAACTATCTCCTATGTAAAAGGATGGTATAGGGGGCTTATGAACACTTAGTTAAATGCAATTATTAATTTAACCACTAGCCTACAGGACACTTATACCCCCTTCCTGCCCAGGCCAATTTCCAGCTTCCAGCACTGTCACACTTTGAATGACAATTGCGTGATCATGCAACATTGTACCCATATGAAATTTTTATCATTTTTTGGAGACAGATAGAGCTTTCTTTTGGTGGTATTTAATCACCTCTGGGATTTTTATTTTTTCTTAAACAAACCAAAAACCACTGAAAAAAAAAAGGTTTTTTTCTTAGTTTTTGTTATACAATTTTGTAAATAAGTGATTTTTCTCCTTCACTGATGTGCGTTAATGAGGCTGCAGTGATGGGCACTGATAGGCTGCACTGATGGACACTGATAGGTGGCATTGATGGGCATTGAGGAGGAGGCACTGGTAGGTTGCACTGATGGGCATTGACAGGCATCACTGATGGGCACTGAAAGGCAGCACTGATACATGACACTGATACATGACACTGATATATGGCACTAATAGGCAGCACTGACTGGCACTGATAGGTGGCACTGACTGGCACTGTTAGGCAGCAAGACTGGCACTGTTAGGCGGCACTGACTGGCACTGATAGGCGACACTGACTGGCACTGATAGGTGGCACTGATTGACATCACTGATAGGTGGCACTGATTGGCATTGATAGGTGTCACTGACTGGCACTGATGGGTGACATTGAAAGGCAGCTCAGATGGACACTGATATGTGGCATTGAGATGCACTGGTATGCACTGATATGTGGCATTGATGTGGCACTGATGTGCACTGGCATGTGGCACTGATGGGCACTGGCACTGATGAGCACTGACAGGTGGCACTTCTGGGGCCACACTGATCATCAGGGCACTGATCATCAGTGCCCTGATGATCGGTGTACATGTCCCCTCCGCGGAAAGCCGATTACCGGCTCTCCTCTCCTCTCGAGCTGTCAGCGTGACAGCTCGAGAGAGAGAAATGCCGATAACCGGCATTTCCGTGTTACATGTGATCAGTTGTGATTGGACACAGCTGATCACATGACCGAGCCGACATCTTCAGCTCTTTCCGTGATCCGCTGTGTTGGAGGGACACAGCGGACCGGCGATCACCATGCTGCGTGCTCCCTGAGCTGCGCATGCGCAGTGAGAATGGTAGGACGTCATATGACGTCCTATCAGAACGAGAGAACCACCTTGCGCCCGTCATTGTACTATAGGGTGGGCAGAAGGTGGTTAAGTTGCTGTTCTCATCGGGTTAAATACCAGAATCGATTCCCCCTGATGAAGCCACGTGACCAGAGGCGTAACGCATAGGGGAGGGGCTCTGATGTCACCGCGTTCGATCGGCTTTGCTGTGATATGGCGAGTACTGAGAGAGAGTGTGATAAACACTGATGGCTATTTTTACTGATGGGCTTGTTTTTATCTGTTACAATGTGAGTGTGGCAAACTTAGTTTTGCAATAAAGTGTTTTAAAAGGATAAAGCACAATTCTTTGTTTCCCTTTATTACCATACATGTGGAGATTGCTGGAGTAATCTTCAGGAGGTTCATTCCCCAGGAGGGGTGGAAGAGGCATATTATCCATTTATCCGTATGTCCATAGAAGAGGATTAAGTGTCCAGGTGGTTAATCAGGAACACTGAAGTGTGGAGAGATCCAAAGAACGTGGTGGTCATCCAAGGGATCCTTCATCCTCATGTGGGATAAACTGGGTTTATTAGCCTGATAGGCTATGAATTGAGGTGAGCGCAAATAGAGCAGCAGTGTTGCTATAAGGAACTTGGAAACCTGGAATTAATCCATTTGATTGAAGCTGATTTATGGGAAAGAGGACTTATGTTTATATTATACTGTGATGATTTTTGATGCATGGGTGGGATAAACTGTGTTTATTAGCCTGATAGGCTGTGAATATAGGTGTGAGCAGCAGTGTTGCTATATAAGGAACTTGGAAACCTGGAATTAATCCATTTGATTGAAGCTGATTTATGGGAAAGAGGACTTATTTATTATACTGTGATGATTTTTGATGCATGGGTGGGATAAACTGTGTTTATTAGCCTGATAGGCTGTGAATATAGGTGTGCATATAATAGAGCAGCAGTTTGCTATAAGGAACTTGGAAACCTGGAATTAATCCATTTGATTGAAGCTGATTTATGGGAAAGAGGACTTTTGTTTATTACACTGGGATGTTTTTTGATGCATGGGTGATTTTTTATGAGGATTTTTTGTGTATTATATTGGGATGTTTTTGCTGCATGGGTGGATTTTTAGTGGAACACAATTAAGAGGGTTATTGCATGTTTCTGACAATTGATATATATGCACATGCTGTTTTTGTTTTTAGGGAGCGCAGCACAATAATTTATTTATTTACTATTATATACACTATTATATGAGTTGGGTGTGAAGTGTTTGCGAACAACATATTGTTTTTATTTTTGATTTACTTTATGTTTTTATTCATTTTTTAAAAAATAGTATTTTGTTACACATTCTGAAGGTGAAAGTCACTATATTGGCTCACGAGTTTTTAAAAAATTTTTTTTTTAGTATCACTACTGTAGATATGTACCTGCATGGGGCTACAGCAGAAATGTATGTGTATATATATATATATATATATATATATATATATATATATGTAAGTAAAAAAAGAAAAATATCTGACTCTCATGCAGCTACATTGTAAACTGTAATGAGCAGGGCTCTCTGTTTCCTCTTGTACCAAATTGTATTGTAACTGTAATGTCTACCTCAGGGGCGGACTGACAACTCATGGGGCCCCCGGGCAATAGGGGATCATGGGGCCCCTGTGTCCTTGCCCAAACTCAAAAAAGCCTATGAAAAAGGTACCAGGGGCATCTCATGGGCCCCCTACTGACCCGGGCCCTCGGCAGTGCCCGAGTTTCCAAATGGTCAGTCCGCCCCTGGTCTACCTTCATTTTGTAAAGCGCTGCACAAACTGTTGGCGCTATATAAATCCTGTATAATAATAATAATTTAACAAACATATTTTACAAAATATATATATATATATATATATATATATATACTCATACAGTACACACACAGAACATAGATTAAAAACAGTGTCTCCATTGTTTTTAATCTGTGCTTTGGGTCTTTAAATATTTCTTTTTATGTAATAAAATATGTTTGTGAAATGATAGCTGCATAAATGTCAGTTATTTTTCTATTTTCTTATGTATTTTTTCTCTGTATATAAATAAACAATCTACATTTCCCCCCATGCAGGTACATATTTATAGAAATGGTACTATTGCTCAGATTTCATCATCCTCTTTCACTATATTACTTGGGAAAAAAATGAAAGTTGAGCTTTCCTTCAGCATTCTGTAAAGAATAGGACTGACTATGATATCTTTCAATGGACAAAATAACCAATCACTGACCAAACACAGTACATATAATGTGGCATGGAGGCTCCTACAGGCACAGCAGTGTACCTGTACTGTACGTCGCTTCCTGTTTCTGGGTTTCGGGCGAGCACCCCCGCCCTCCTACTCCCCTGTGATTTGACACAGCGGGAGTTTATCAGTCAGGACCTGCTGATCAGCTGTGTTGAATCACAGCCCAAAGCCCTGTGATGACAAACAACACAGGGCTCCACACAGAGGGAATGATCACTTTGTTTCAATTCCCTAAAAAGCAGGGAAAATAAACAAACCGATCTGTAGTAAAAAGCAGCACATGCTGCACACAGTACACATTGGTGTCCGTTTATGACACAGAGAATAGCTGCGATTCAACAGATCTCAGCTATTCTCTGGTCATTCACAGTTTATGACACTCAGGAGATCATGTCAGTCCTTCTCTGGAGATCTGTGTTCTCCCTCCAGATTTTCCAGCCCAGAGCTGGAGAATCAGAGGGACCGAAAACTAAGCAGAGATAATTTACCTCTGCTTAGTAAACTGATCTTTTACTGTAATCTCGCGAGATTATAGTAAAATGAGCCATTTTCCAGAGTTTGTAGACCGTTCTCCAGCGTTTGGAGACCGTTCTCCCCTTCGTTCGGAGAACTGCTTCATAAACTGCATTCGCAGGAGAACTGTGTTCTCTGAGAATGCCGGAGAACTGAGCAGCGATCTATTACCGCTGGTTCATGAACGGACACCATTGTTAGGCACACAGTTAGCCCCTTGATTACCACTAGATGTTAACCCCTTCCCAGCCAGTATCATTAGTACAATAACAGTGTACATTATTAGCACTGATCACTGTATTAGTGTCACTGGAGATGTCAGTAACAGTCCACACAAAGTTTCAGTTAGTGTCAGATTGCCCGCCGCAATGTCACAGTCCCACTATATGTTCTCCTAGATTGTAAGCTCCAAGGAGCAGGGCCCTCGAACCCCTCGTGTATCGAATTGTATTGTTACTGTAGTGTCTCGTGTACTGTCTCCCATTGTAATGTATAAACTGTTGGCGCTATATAAACACTGTATAATAATAATAATAAGTTGCTGATCACCGACATTACTAGTTTAATAAAATCAATCAATCAATAAATAAAAATTCCTGTATATATACCATCATTTAATATACACTTATTGTGATTTTTTTTTATCAAAGACATGTAGCAGAATACATAAATCTATAAAGAAATTAAATTTTATTTTCTATTGAATATGCTGTACAGCAGAAAGTAAAACAATATAGTTTTTTTTCCAAAAAATTTTGGTATTTTTTTCATTTATATAATAAGAATAGAAAACCCAAAGGTGATCAAATACCACCAAAAGAAATCTCTATTTGTGAGAAAAAAAATGCTATAAATTTCATTTGGGCACAGTGTTGCGTGACAGCGCCAGCTAAAGTAACACAGCACCGAATAGCAAACAACGACCTGGCCATGAAGGGAGTAAAGTGGTTAAACAGCATTTTGCAATTTTGAATATAAAATATCCTATAATCATAGGAAATATTTAAAATACATTTTAGAATAATTGTTTGGTATACTATATAAGTGGTAACTGTTCGTGTATTGTATTGAAGAGTTGTTTATATTTGAAAGGTTTCGTGAAGACACTGAGTGCAGAACATCCTGGTGATAAGTTCCATCCTCCCATAGTCTGTATATAATAAAATGGATGAAAGAGCCAGCCCAGAAAATCATTGTTGAAATAACTGCAGGAAACAATGCACTTAGACTTGTTTACAAATGTGCCTACAGTTTGGCTTGGCAGTGCGCAGACATTCTGCAGAATTTTGTTCCACTTGCCTAGAAGGAGCATTTTCCTCACAATAAAAGGAAATCTCCTGTGCTAGATTAAGAGTTTTACTCCTTATCTCTTTGAGAAATTACTATTAAGGATACATTTCAGGGTGAAACATTGATCAAATGGAAAAAGCTGTTGTCTGTCCCACTGGCAGAAGGGTTAAATGGTTGTAATAAATGAGTACTATAGTCACCGTACATGTTTAATGTTATCTTTTTGTTTCAAAACATTGACAAAAAAAGCAGTAATCTTTTTAATTTGTGGAAATGTATTTTGCACAATAAAGTCTACAATCCTGCAGAAGAGGCTGCTGTCAGCTGTTTTTGTTTCCTCTCTCATGTCGCAGCTCTCTATAAACCCCATAGATACAATGACATAATTTTTCTTTTTGAGATTGCCAATAACCCTTATGTTTTTTTATTGATGGAGGTCTGCCAATAGAAAAAAAAAAAAAATTTCAGCCAATAGGAAAAGGAAGGAAGGGAAAGCGAACGTAATAAAAGAAGATTCTTATTATTATTATACAGGATTTATCATAACGCCAACAGTTTGCGCAGCACTTGAGATAATTACACAAAATTTGCAGCTGCTATCTAGGGATTCCTATAGAGTTATAATATGGAAAAGGAAGCAATAAAGGGCTTACAGCACCCTCTATGCATAGGTACTGTTCATTAGAATAGCCAGAGGAATGGCAAGGGTATCTTGAGGTTTTGTGTAGACTTTTTTTTAAAAAAAAGAGTGAGCCAGGGGCATGAAAAGCAATATTTCTGCAGACATTCTGTAAACAATTTACAAAACAACCCTCATGTTGTCATGCCAGCATATTTTTCCCATTTTCAGAAAATCACAACTGGCTGCTGAATGAAATGGAAACATTATTTTTAATAACATTAAATTACAAAAAATGATAAAAGTACTGTAAGTAGATGTGGCAGATGTAATATGTGGATCTACTTATAGTTGGAGAATGTTTAAAAAAATAAGATAAGATACATCATCATGGAGTGTATTAGTCATTGGATATCCAAGCCAAGTGATAAGGAATTAAAGCCATATCGATTTCTGTCAGGATGGGGAATTACAACATGAAAAAAATAGCATGTCTTGTTCTGGGTTTGTTTGGGACACATCTCAGAATCTCTAACAATATTTTCACCACTGATAAACTATGGCAGTACAAATATGAATCAGTGCATCTGCAGACCATTACTTTCTGGTGCAGCATATTGCTGTACAGACTGGACTGTAGCATAGTGCCGTGTCAATGGGAGAGAACAGGACCTTTTTTCATAATCAAAAATCAAAAGGATAATAAATGCATATGTGTGTTTCCACTTCCCTGTTTCTGACTGGGCTGGTTGGATTTCAGATTTATACAGTTTAAGCATAAGACACTATGCAGTGTATATTATCATTAACTTTGAGATGGGCCTGCAGATCTAAGTGTCCTACGGTCCATTGTGCCATATTTAATAGTACACTAGTGCTGCATTTCATAGCGTGTCTACAATTAAAGGATAAGTTCACCTTTTAGACAAAAATAATAAATGCACATTTGTTTGCAGGTAAAAAAATGTGCATTTATTATTTTTATCTACAGGAGCCTGGAAAGCATTGCACCAGCAATCAGTAGATCGCTGATGTCATGCAGGTCTCCTGCAGACCTGTCAGAATATCTGCTTTCTGTACAGGATGTATGAGCAAGCAGATATTCTGACAGAAAGATTCAATGAAGCGCCGTGGTAGTTAATTGAAGTCTGTGAATGAATGATGGCCCTGCACAAATCTGACAGATAGTATGGGGAAACTTCTCCATGTACTATCTGTCAGAGAGAGGGGGGGGGGTAGGCAGTGGCTGCGGCTACGGGAACATGTTACATGTTCCACCCTAAAAATGGGTGGAACATGTTACATGTTCCACCCTAAAATTGGGTGGAACATGTAACATGTTCCCAAAGGTGAACTTACCCTTTAACCATGTAATAAAGAGAATAGAGGTTCAGTTTATTTTTTTTTCTCACTTTGATTCTTTAAATTATCAAACAGTTTTGCCTATTTAATCTAGCCTGGCCAATTTTTTCACTTGCTTTTACCACAGTCATTTTAAACATGATAGAATCTATTTAGATTGAAGAAAAAACTAGAATTTGACACACCTTCAAACTGCCATACTTTTTTGTGCCATTTTTGACCATTTGCAGGATTATTTGCTCTTTGGTTCTTTTAACTTTTACCTAATCTTTTTACACTGCAATACATCAATATAAGATCTCAAAAACATCAAAATCAGAATCCAACACCTATCTAAAGGGAACTGCTGCTAAGAGAATATTTCTGAGACCATTCTTCTCCTTCCATTTCCATAGCATTGTTTAGCTGGCCACAAAAAAATGCATGTGAAGGTGAGGTAAGGAGGAGAACCATGAGGTTTATTAGATAATGATGAATGCAACAATCAAACTACTTTCAAGCATTTTGCACTACAGAGCGTAATTATAAGGCTCCTCATAAACCTTATGATTAAGTGGTGTATCCCAAAATAAGTAAAGGGATTTTGATTGCTGCATTTTGGTTTATTTAACAAACCTCCTGGTTTTTCCTTACATTATGGACTTGAGATTTACATGTATCAATAAACTGTAGAAAAGCCAAAGCAAGAATGTATTTCACTGACTTTTAGGCCTTATGCACACTGGCTTTTTTTTAAACTCCCTTAGAAGCCTCCTCCTGGCAGCAGCATTTTGGCCGAAAAAACACCTGATGCTTGTAAAAG